TTGTCCTGGAGGCATGCACTGGGTAAAGCTGGTCAGCCATCTTCCCTGCTGAGCATCACACACAAACCTAAGCAAGGAAGTGGGGAATAATTTTCATGTTTGTTACCAGAAGGAGAATTAGTGGAGGCAAAATGTACCCAGGCATGTTGGATTGCTTGGGATAACACAGTTAAACACTGGGAAAACAACCCCAGATGATGGCCCCTCACTGCTTGCTTCTTTATTTTTTATTCCCCATGCTAATATGTCCTTGTCCACAGCTCCATGAGGGTACCAGTGTCAGCCAGTATGAGGGTCCATTCCCAAAATAAGAAGAAATACATGTGTTTATTCCTATAAATAGCACTTGGATTGCTTCCCACACTACACATCTCGAGTCTTTGAGCACTTCCTGAATTCTTTGCTCTAATCTCACTGTAAAATTGTTTGTAAAACTGACCCCAGTGTCTCTCGTGTTGCAGGTTGTACACTGACCACACGAGTGGGTTATTTAGCCTTTAATATCACCCTCAATATGTAATGGGAGCTTGCATGGGTTTTGCTTCTCTGTCTGGTGAGGAGAAGATGATCTTGGTATTCCTCTTGTGCTCTCCTGATGGCTTCTAGAAATGACTTCTGGCAATATCTTTCTTTTGTACATCCACCTGTGGTTTTTTATCTGCATCCCATTTTTTTTAAGGCAAGACTGGGAATAGGAGGTTAAGGGAAAATATGTTGCTGATGTGATAAGGTTGCTAAATAGTTTTGAAAAGCTTTTTTTGGGGGGAAACTGCAAGAAAATGATGACAAATAATAGCTGCCTGAAGCTCCCCCAGGACAATGCAGGATTTTTTCACATTGAAGACAGAAGGGTTATTTTTGTATTTCTGCATATCTAAAGAAAAGCAGAAGAACCTCTGATAGTGAGGTCATTTTTTTCACACAGAAATGTCCCAGCAGATGGAAATTAATTCAGTGGGATTTTGAATCTGTAAGAATTAAATAAAAACTTATTATGGACTTTGGATGGTGGCCCAGTTGCTGGAAGTCCAGCAAGATTTCCTCCAGCCATAAATTGCATGTTGGGCTAATTTACTGGGGCTTTCCTATCCCTTACTGCAAAGCCAGTAACATTATAACATTCAAGTAAGTAAAGTTAAAACTTCTGTGTCTTCCTAAACTCTGAGTTTAAGGGAAGGGACAGCAAGACAACCTATATTTTGGCTCCCACCCCCTCTCAGTGCCAGGATGCCCTGGTGTTCCCCTCCCAGACGTCACCTCCTCTGACGTAAGGAGCTTTCTCGCTTCTCAGATGCTTTCTGTTATAGATCCTCAGTGATTTACCACCGGAAGGAACATCCTTGGGTCCCCCTTTGCAGGAGATTCATCCCCATCCCTGGCTGAGCCAGGACCAGCCCTTGCCCTGCACTCAGCCCTCTCTCAGGCAGGGGCTGGGTTTGGAGGGATGTCCCTACCCATGGACTGTAATAGTGACTAACAAGTCTCAAGCCCTCACTAGCAAGGGAAAATTAGTGCCAAAACCCCCTGTTTTCTGCCCTGTGCCCTGCTCACACCATCCTGGTGTCCTCCTGCTTGATGCTGCCTCTCCTTGTGCATCAGCCCTCCCAGCGCCCAGTCTTGGGGTGACCTCCCAGACACAGAGGTGGATACTCCAGAAGTGTGTAGATACTCAAGTCACGCAGAGGAGCCAGAGAAGAGCTGGGTGTGTGTAGGAAAGAGATTGAAAGGCTCTGGAGAGGCTGTGGTTCTTGCTGGGGTTCGTGTCTCTCTGCTCCCCCCCGCCTCGCAGGGTTATAGCCCTCCAGCTCTGCGCTGCTCAGCAGTTTGCTCCTGCCTTTTGCTGCCACGAGCAAGTATAAATCACATCAGCCCTAACTTGTGCTCTTGTACCTTTGCCAAGGTAATTAGTACGTTTTAAGAGAGTTATTTCTCTCTGAGGAGCAGCCTGCCAGCGCCTCGGCATGCGCAGAGCCGTCTGCTCGCCCCAAAATGCTTTATCGGAGCGGTTTGGTTTTGTTTAAGGAAAGTGCTGAGGAAGGCAAGAAATTAATGAAGGGCTGTCAGGCTTCTTATACAGAGCCCCCCGAGTCCCCCAGGGAAGAGGGACGGAGCGAGGGTTCCAAGTGCCTTTGGAGGAACTGTTTTCCTCCAGCCAGGGCATCTCTACCCCAGTGGCCATCCCAACATCTGCGGGGCAGGTGCCATCAACTCCAGCCTTGCCAAACCCCCCCGGTAAAGCACCCGAAATCTTGAGCATTGGGACAGAAGAGGGCCACAAAGATGATTAAGGGCCTGGAGCATCTCTCTTATGAAGAGAGGTTGAGGAACATGGGTCTTTTTAGTCTAGAGAAGAGAAGACTGAGAGGGGATCTGATCAATGCTTATACATACTTAAAAGGAGGGAGTCAGGAGGACAGGGCTGGTCTTTTTTCAGTGGTGCCCAGTGACAGGGCAAGAGGAAATGGGCACAAACTTGAGTATAAGAAGTTCCACCTAAACATGAGGAGGAACTTCTTTACTGTGAGAGTGGTAGAGCACTGGAAGAGGCTGCCCAGAGAGGTGGTGGAGTCTCCTTCCCTGGAGACATTCAAAACTCACCTGTACATGTTCCTGTGCAACCTGCTCTAGGTAGACCCACTCCGGTGGGGGCGTTGGACTAGATGGTCTCCAGAGGTCCCTTCCAACTCCATATGATTCTGTGATTCTATGATTCTATGAAAGCAAGTTGTATAAATGTTCTTCTTAGATACCTGTAGAGCTGGATGCCAGTTGTGGATGCAGTTTCTGCATTAGGTTAGCGGATGTTTTTCCTTCATTCATCCCAGTGCATAGTGGCTTCTTGGTGTTTGCTTAAATTGCTTTTAATGGTCCTTCTCATACGCCACTTCCACCACTGGGTTTCATGTAGGAGTTGCTGCATGGAGCCCCGTACACAAGCACGTGCCTGTTAAGTAGACAGGCAGTGCTGCTCTGAACTTAAAGCCTTGTCTGGCATGAGGTTATCTTACTTGCTTTTGATAATGGCAGTCATCCAGTGGGACACAAATGAGGACTGACTCATCTGCTTCACGAGATAAAAGAGGAGAGATTTCTGGTTCAGCTGAACCACGGCGGATTCATGATAATGCTGCAAATTTCAGAAGAGTTCTTCCAGGTTAATATGAATCTGATGCAGATCAACATCTCACTCAGCATTTAAATTATTTATCAAGCACACTGGCCCTTCAGAGCTAACAAAACGTTGCTCCTTTCACCCTCACGTGTTGAGTTGGTTCAAATAACCTCCAGGGCAGCTGGCTGGCTGTGGGTTATAAATAACTTGAGTATTTCAATTCTTAGAGTTTTCCCCGACCCTCACTCTGTGGTTGCAGTGGTGTAGTGTTTCAGCTAGATCTTCTACCTGTTTATAATGGCTGTCTTTCTCCAATTAAATGCTTTATTGAGGTTGATTGACTCAGGATTTAAGAAAACTTCAGGAAAAAGATCATTTCAATGCCAGCAAAGTATGTGAAAGAATAATTCACACCATAGACTAGAGATAAGAGATGGGACAGAGAGCCAATAGAGGCAGAAAGGCCTGTTTAAGTGAGAGCAGGATGGGTTTGCTAAAACCTTGGACCAACTTCAGAGGTCAATCTGACACTTTGCAACCTTGGTATCAAAACTTGAGGAAGGGATATCTTTGCTGGCACGTTTGCAGAGAGAGGGACAGGCTGCTGCGTGCAGCATCAGGTGGACATCAGGGATCTCTGATACCTGAGTTTTATTGCTGCATTTGCTTAGCAGAAGGCCAGATGTGTTTTTTCCCCATGCCCAGCATCTGCAGGGCTGGAGGAGCCCTGCCTCAGCAGAGTGACTGTCCTGCTCTCTGCGGCACTGGGAGGGTGCACCCTCAGTGTTTTGGCTCTAACTAGGCAAAAAATGTTCAATGTCCTGCTTTGTCCTGGGGCGAGGTTTTCTGAGAAGTCTGAAAACCAGGACAGGACTGTTTTTAGCCTGAGGCAAGGCAGGCAAATTGATGTGGGCAGCAAAATCACTTGCAGAAGTGAGAAGGGGAGAGACTCTCCATGTGTCTCACCAACAGCAGCAGGTCCATGTGCAGCCCGTGCAGGCTCTGCTGCAGAGATGGAGGGACTCCCAAATGTCTTCCTTGTTGTGCCCAGCACAACCTGCAGATTCATCCTCCCCTCTGCCTCATAGCTCTGTGGGGCTCCTTGTCCTGCTTTGCACCAGCTCTTCCTCCCCCTTGCGCTGAAGAAGAGGTCTATGCAGGTGGCCAGTGGCTCTCCAGATGTACAGCAAAGCTTCCTATGCAGCTACAATCTCTTGCACAAGATAGAGACCACAAGTTGTGCTCAAAGCCCGTCCTGATGCCATGCAGGTGGCTGGGTAGGTGTTGTCACCTCTTGTGTGTCTTGAGTTTCTGGGTCTTTGCTGTGCCCACATGTCTGCAGAACCCCTGCACTGCCTCTGCGCCGTCTGTGAGAGAGTAAAGCTGGCATAAGTGGCTTGTGTAAGGTGTGGGGTGAGAACAGTCCAGAAGGACGACCAGAGCAGTGAAGCCAGTATGGAGAAGACTCTTGGATGAGCAATGGTTGTGCTGAGGGATGAGAGGGACTGGTGCTCTGTGGATGTAGGGTGTAGGCCATGGAAGCTCCTCTTACACATGTACAGGAGAGGATGGAAAGGCTCATGGCTATTTCTCTGGCTAAACACCCAAAAGCATGCAAAGGGAGGCCAGGATATTTGCCTGAGTCAGTGTAAGATCAACAGCATTGGGTTTCCATGCAGAATTCCTCTTTGTCCAGGACGATGCAAATCTCCAGAAGTGGGTTTACATGTCCCTGAACAAATTTGTCTCATGACATTGCTTTCCTGCTGGAAAACTTACTGGGGCAAGTCTTAAACCAGAGTTTCTCCTTCTTCTCATTTCCTCTTTCTCACCTTCTTGGCCGTGATGGGTCCAAGGGTCATGTGTCTCTTTTCTTGTTCTCTGTTAGGCTCTGTGGGTATCCCCCTTTCTACGATGAAAACGACTCCAAACTCTTCGAGCAGATCCTTAAGGCGGAGTATGAGTTTGACTCTCCGTATTGGGATGACATCTCCGAGTCTGGTAAGAAGCTACTGCTCATTTAATTGCAGCAACCGTGCCTGCCTGCCTGCCTCTTGCAGATGTACTTTGCTGGATGTGAGAATGCACCCTCCATCGTGTGTGGAGCTCCTTGTAACTGAGAACCATAGGGAATGTGCATTTATTTTAGCTCAAATGACAGGAGGTTATTTCTGCAGGAGAGCAAATTAAGTACCAATTTATCCGGCCATACACAAGGTGCTAAACCGTAAGACAGAAGATGAAGACAGCAGAGGACTGTCCCAGAAAGACAAATCAGTTTAACTTCATCATATCCAAATAAAATGCAGATGTTTCATGTGTCACTAATAATAAGAAGGCAAAGTAGTTGAGCTCTGTTACTAAAACTGTACTGCAGCTCCGAAACGAGTCTGCAGTGTATACAGCAGAGACAAACCTATGAAATTAATGGCTTCCAGGCAACGTGGGTGAGCAGATTCAGAAGCTGGGAGTACTGTCTGCATGGTTGCATCCAGACAGATGCCCATATGCTCACCCAGTCCTGCACCCAGTGCCAAAGCCATTTAATTTCCTTCCCTGGAAATGTTCAAGACCAGGCTGGATGGGGCTTTGAGCAACCTGCTCTAGTGGGAGGTGTCCCTGCCCATGGCAGGGGGGTTGGAACTAGATGATCTTTAAGGTCCCATCCAACCCAAATCATTCTGTGATTCCCTGATTCTATGAATCCATAGCTCTAGTCAGCCTGGCAGAGAGGCAGATAATACAACCTTGTTACAGGAGGCAAATGTGCCTAAAGGGCTTCTGTCTCCAGCAGAGCTCATGGTCTGCCAGCACCAGTGCCTACAGGCGATGGCAGGGACATGTTCAGCAATGCTCCCTGCCTGTGCCACTGACGTGTGGTCCCCAAGAGGACACGAAAGCTCGATGTCCTTGTTCCATCCAACTCGGGGGAACAGCTGCTGTTTCACACAGGAGAAGAAATGAATTCTAGGACCATTGTATCAGACAGAAGTGCAGTTTTCTGATTCATTAGCACTACTGATTAAGGCAGGCGAGATACAAAAAGAAGTGTTTTATTTTAAAGATGATTATATATCCTGTTATCTCCACATAGAACATTTCATGCTGCTTACATCTGCAGTCCAGATATCATTGTGATGGATTGCTTAAAAATATATGTGATGAGAAGTTTTTTTAAGCCCATAAGGGCTTTCTGAGAAAATATGAAGGTCTGCTGGCGGATCCCTTTGCATTTTGGGAGGAAAGTACATCACCTAAATCAACACAAAGATTTTCCTGCCATATTTGGCTTTGCTGTAGTTCCTTTAGCTACTTTCTCCTGAAACTACTGGATGCACGCCATGCTGTGATCTCCCTTCCTTCCATTATAGTGTTGATTAAAAACACACTACTGAATGCCCAAGGGATCCCATTTTCCTTGGTAACTTGTTTTTAAATACATAACACGTCCTCACAGCTGCCTGTGTGTGATTGCTTGGAGGGAGAAGCAATGAGAAGCTCCTCTTGCTGCGACATCTGACCTCCTCCTTGCCTTTCCCACTCAGTTTAGCAGCATCTCCAACAGATGTGGCCGTATTCAGACCGCTGAGATGATCAGAGGCACTTGGCTGACCAGGGAGCTGAGACCTGGCAGGCTTGAACTCTGCTGACTCTGAATTATCCATCCCACTCCTAAATACACCTGCGGGAGTAGAGCCGTCAGCATTTATCTGCCATACTAAATAGCTTGGATTTAGTCCCAAGTCCCTTTGGTTATATCTATACTAATAAATGACAAATGACCCAGGGTCATTTTCTGGTGCTGTGGCCAGATGACACTTGGTAGCTTGGTCAATGCTGTTGGCTGATCATCCTGCAGCAGAACTGGGCATCAACCCTGTCCCTCTAAATTTTTCTCTCTCTTTTTTTTTCTTTTTTTTAGCTAAAGACTTCATTCGGAATTTGATGGAGAAGGACCCTAATAAAAGATACACCTGTGAGCAAGCAGCACGGCACCCCTGGTAAGTGACAGTCCCTGCTGTGTGAAACCTGCAGGATAGAGAGCATCGTTTAACATTCATGGGTGGAAGTGGTTTTTCTGTCACGTAGTATATTAACCTCTACTAAATAACTCTGTGCTCTTATTCTTACAACCCCCGCCTTTGCCTTCCAGATTTTCCTGGAAAACCGTGATGGACTCTAATTTCATGTACCAAGCTGTTGAGTATCTGTATAAGGATTCAGTGAAATGCTGAATTATGTATGCTGACTGTAGTGCAGCGGTAGGATATGCCAAAATGATTCAACCCAGAAATCATATCTGGGGGCAAGAGGTCAAATTCTGCAGGTGTGCAGAAAGCTGGATATCAGCCTGCTGATGTGGTCCTTGCCAAAGTAATAACAGAGCACTTAAGAGCATCACATGAAGTAGGAGGTCCTAATCTGTGCTTTATAGATGATAGTCTGCCTCCTGCTTGCAGTAAGGAGCTGGTTTCACATGCTGTTTACCCTCTCTTGCTGAATGGAAGAGATAGGAGACCCTGGAGAGGGATAAGCTGTGTCTGAGTTGGCTGTAACAATGCTATCTCTCTGCACTGACTACAGAAAAGTACCTGGTCTGCCTGTTTTTATAATTTAGACCTCTGTTAAGTGGTTTAAATTAGATAATGCCTTTCCACATGAATGACTTCACCAACATTACCCAAGGATTATGTAGCTGAAACAAGAGTGGCTTGTGGACTTTTGACCAGCCCTGAGTGACCGAGCATCACCCCACTACCAGCTGCAGACACAAATGGGCTTTGCATGTAAGCCTTTTAGGGCAAGGATCATTATATATGAAGCGAGGCATTATTTTGGTTATTGTAATAGCTGCAACAGAAAGGAGTCAATGGCATGACATTTTCACCCCAGGTGTGCATTAGACTGTGTTTTTATGCTATCACAATTACCACAAATGTCATTTCCTTTTGCAGTTTCTGGAGCACTGGCTGGATAAGAGCATTAGGCTGTGCATTTGCAGGGGAACAGAAGGTTTTCCTTAGTGTCCATAGCCCCTCAGAAAAGCCACTCAGCCAGTGTCTTAACTAGCCCAACAGCTTGATGGACCACAAAACCATCCTGGTGATGCAATTTGAGCCCAGGAATCAGCCTTGAGTAGTGTAGTTAAGTATAAAAGACATGGTGGGAAAAACACAGGCATAGAAGTCGTCAGGGAGTTATAAGGTAGCACTGCTTTCTGCTGGGAGTTGGGGACATTCATTCCCAGGATGGACTCTGCATCACTCTCAGCTTTATCAGTGGAGCTCTGGTCATCTCTGCTTCCTCAGCAGACATGGGTTTTGGACACTCTCCTTGACCTTTCTAGCTCTGAAGGGTCAGAGCTTGGTACCCAACTTGAAATTGTGTTACATTTCAAAGCAGAGTAAAACTTACAGCTAAAGCTCTAGAATAAATGCTTCAGTTTGGCTTCAAGGGGTTTATGCTCCTTTCTCTGACTCTCAGTGGTTTGTCTCATCTTGCTCATGGTCTCAGTCCTGGGACAAGATGGAAAGTAAATCCTTTCAAAGGCTTTTATCATTCTGCCTTACATCTGATAAAGTTTTACCAATACACAGGCTGATGAATTACCCCCATCATTAATTAACAGCTTGGCACTCATGAAGGCATTCAGGAAGTTACGACTACAAAAGTGGTCTAAATAAAGTGAAATGGCGCTGATTTCTTCATAGTGTGTACTCATGTCTGACTGCAGATTGTCAGTCGCTGTCATCACAAATCAGGCTGAAGATAAGACTGAGGATCAGCCTTTACAATTAAAAAGTTTTAGGAAAGGTTTGGGGTGCAGGAGGCATCAAGAAAAGCAAGGTTCTTGCTTTTCATCCTTCATGCCAATGACAATGAGACACATTTCACAGACGGTTTTTAGCTGCATCAGTGGCTGGCATCAGTACAGAGGTGAGGAGGAGTCAAGATGTGGGCCTGCCCTTTTTGCAATGTCCCATCAATAACCATATTGTTTGTGTGAAAAAAAGGAAATTTGGGAAATGAAATCCAGCTTTCATGAGATGACAAAAAAAAAAATACGTTTCTAAGTGATACTGACCTGGGCCTCAGGAAATTAAACAAGTTACAAGAGTCAGTATTAGAAGTACAGAATAAACAACGGGAATGCAACTCCCAGCAGAGAACGAGGTGATCATTTGTATTACTCAGAGGCAGATTTTCCAAAGCCTTACATCCAAGATACACAAAGCGTAAGCATCCAGCTCTTGGCCCCGCTACATCTGTGTTGGTTGCTGGAGTGCAACAAAGAAACGTGGCACTTGTAAGACACACAGCTTCTGGGCCCTCCTACGGGAACAAAATGATAAAAAGTGTTTTCATTCCTTTTTTTTTTTCTTTTTTTCTTTTTTTCCTTTTGCATGTCATGGCCAGGAGCCAATGGAAACTCACAGACTGCTCCGTAACTTTTTGTATTTTCTACAGAATCCAATCTTCCATTTAAAAACAACCCCCCAAAAAGGGTTTTCCCCATTTCTGTGGCAGGGGGGTCTTCTTCTGCCAGGGGGAATTTGCAAGGCAGTGGTTCATTTGCGGGGCTGCCTCCCAGCCACGTAAAGCATGGCTCTGGGTCAGCCTTCGAGATGTCAGACATGCAAATGGCACTGCAATAGGGAGGGTTAAAATACTCACCATGTTTCCGTATCCCATCCCAAATGCACCTCCCCTTGACATAGAGACAGTACGTGCCAGTGGATTAAAGAGCAGCAGGACGGTTGTACAATGAAAGCAAAGAATGGAGGTTTCCAAAGATACGGCTTTGTGTCTGCCTCTGTCCTTCCCAGTGAGCTCTTGAGCAAAGCTCAATATCTCATTCCTCCTTGCTCTGAAGAGCTTCCTGTAAAATAAATGTTGCAGTTATGGACCTTTCTGGAGAGTGGTGCAGTGATTTTTTGGAGAGTTTGGATCCTGTAGTGATAAATGCTATTAAATGCCTTTTCAGATAATCCAGGCTACTGACCCGGATATTATCTGTTATTGCAGAGTTAGTGCTAGGCTCTCCTTTCGCCAAGCCATTGCTCAAGAAGCATTTTCCACCCAGATTGCTTACATCAGGAAATAAAGAGGTTTTCACTGCTGCTTTTCTCATTCTAGCCATTATATCTGTTGCAATGGCATCCTCCCCTCCTCTTTGAAGGAGAGTGGAGGAGGAGGAGAGCTCTGTGCTTCCTCTCAATGGTCAACTGTGTCTTTCATTCAGCCTGGACACATTTAAGTTTCCAGCAAGTCCAGGCTTGAGTTCTTCTCTATCACGAAAGAGGGTAGATTTAGATTAGATATTAAGAAGAAATTCTTTACTGTGAGGGTGGTCCTGAATCCACTGAAGTTAATGGGAGTTTTGCCACTGACTTTGGTGAGAGTTGGGGTTTGGCTCCTTGTGGCCAAGATGAACACAGAGCATCTACCCAAGTCACTGGTGCTGTGCAAATCGTAGAGAACTAGTATATATGATGAGGTGGCTCCGTGTTGTGACATTTTCCAGCTTTCCCTTTTTCTTCCTCCTGTGAAATCTTCTCCTGCAGTATCAGATCATTGGGATCACCAGCAAATTAGGAAGAAACCTATCAATTCATTAATACTTAACACATACACGGTAATCTGAGTCTGATAAAAATAGTTAACTGTGCATGAGATGGCTACCTGGCCATGAGATTTTTGTTGTTTCAATATATAACATTTGTGAAGAACTAAATGCTTCCAAAATACACCTCTTATTTTAATTACCATGACTTTATTAAAAACTTCCAAACAAGGCTTGCAAGAACTGGATCTTGCAAGATACTGCGTTCATGCCTTTGAGGTTAATAATCTCTTTGAATTTCGGGAAACTGCTCAAGAATAGCCAGCTATTCGCATGACTAAATGTTTGTACAGGATCAGACCCTAAAAAAAGTAAATACTTCTTCCCAGTGGCCCACTTTTCTGGGCTGTATCTGCTCCCCACATGCCTGCATTTACGTGATGTTTTGCTATTTATAATCAAATGGCCTTGGCAGGGGGACGGTATGTTAAACTGGGAGTTGGCAGAAAAGGCAGCTAATAATTGCGGTGAAGTATGGTGGCTGAAACAGTACAATATGTAAGAGTTGTTGGTAAAATGATTACACTCCAGCCTGTACAATCTGTCCATTTATACAGATTTCTCCAGTTTAATATACAGGTGACTTATGCTTTCCATTGGAAAAGTTATTTATTTTATAGCCTATCTTTCACTGAGGTTGGCACTGTTTATGGTGTGTTGCAAAGGTGCAATGTTCTGCTTAGTTGTTCCACTGTGACTTTTTGAAAGGGACGTGGAAAATGAAGGTAACAAAAGAGTGGGGTAATTTTGCTGCAGCTTCATACATTTTAATGTTTCCCTAGCTCATATTAATGACAGCAATTAAGTTTATTAAATATATTGCCATGTCAGAACCCACATCCTGTTTAGGGCAGCGGCTCAGGCTGCAGTGATTGAGAGTGAGAAGCAGAAACCCGAGAACCTGTTTTTTCCAGCTGCAGCATCACACTGCACTCACTGATCAGGTCAAGCTGGGTCCTGCAGCCCCAAATTCAGCCTCTGGGCTCAGGTCAGAGGGAAAGAAAACAGTCCTCAGAGCGTGAAGAGAAGGTCCAACAGTTAGGAAGCTAGCCTACGATTTGGAAGGCATGCCGTGAATTTGTTTGCTCTGTCACACATTTCCCAAGTGACCATAAATGGGATTTAGAGCTGTGTGCTGAAGCCACTTATGGCATTGAAGGCAACTTGGGACACTCCCCTTATGGACTCTACTGGGGAGAATGAGGTTGTGGCACCTAAATTACACACCTGTGGCCACGGGTGCAAGTGTGGCCCTCACTTTTCCCCACTGCTCGTGCAGAGGGAGAGCGGCTACTCGGGATGTGCGGATGTCCATCCCCGCCTACGCTGAAGAATCACAAAGCTTTGGCAAGGATTGAGCCTCTGCAAATTGTGACC